GCTGCTTAGGAGAGACTGGCATTATTGAAAGCTGGGACATTCTACTTTTTATTAGTCAAGTTCCCCACTTCAAAATAACTGACATTCACAAATTTAAACAATTTGCTTATGGTTTCAGAGGGTTCAGTCCATGTCCAATGGGCAACAAGAGAGCAACACTGTGGCAGAAGAGTGTGGTGGCCAGAAAAGGAGCAAGGGTAGAACAGAGGCAGAGAGGAAGATCTAGGAACTAGATGTGGTCCACGCCGTGTCACCCAGGAATTTCAGGGCTGTATACTACTAAGCTGTGGGGCCTCTTCCAAGTCAGTCAAATTCACAAGCATATTTAACTGTCATAGTGCCTATTATGATACTGTGAAATTGCACACAAACAAGTACTAAGAGGCAGTATGAAAAAATGAAATATTCATTGAAAAATCGCACGGAGCTGTGCAGCACCTTCTCTTAGCTTTTCTTGTTCTATATATGTAAAATACATTAAACCAAAATGCAACAACAAAATATTTTAGAAAACCATGGTTGATATAGTTATAAACTTTCCTCTTAAATTCTCTAACTTTTTATAAATTAATAAGACAAGTAAGGAAAATGTACACCATTGTACACACACACACACACACACACACACACACACGACTTTTTTGGTGTTTTTAGACAGCATCTTGCTATGGAGCCCAGGCTGGCTTTGACTTATGGCAATCCTCCTCCATCAGCCTACACACTACTGGATTACAAGTGTGCGCTGTCACCTTCAGCTCACCATACATTGCTATTAGTGACATACACACTCCAGCCAGACAGCAGGATGGATAAAAACGCAGCCTCAGTCTTGGATACTGCTCTGTTACCTGCACTCTCCATACCCAACAGCAGCATGACCCCTTCCCCCAGGCCGTGCTCCTCTAGCTAGAGCACACAGAAGCTGCTTCTCCAGCTTTGTGGCCACGCCTCCCGGCAAGGTCTTGCACATTAAGCTAAGCCTTCAGTAAACATGAAACGAAGAGAAATGGAACTGAATGACATCATTTAAAGATGTTAAAAGTGAAGGTTCTGAAGAGCAAACTCAGAGCAGAAGGCCCAAAGCACAGTCATAGAGTCTGACAACGAATATAATGCAGGAAATTTGAAATTCATATTTTCTTATTTTTTATGTTTTTAGGACAGGGTCTACAGGGTCTCACTCCATAGATTGGACTTGTAGTGATTCTCCTGTTTACAGCCGCCCAAATGCTGGGATTACAGGCCCATGCCACCATGCCCAGTCTCAATCGCCATCTCAGCACTTCCAGGGGGTGGGGGTGGGGTGGCCCGCACGGCACACCTGGGATCGAACCCCAGGCCCTGTGCTCTATCTAAACAGGCACCCTAGTCCTCTGAGCTATCGGGCTGACTCCTTCATATTTTCTATCTAGGGCAGGAATACAAGGTGCAAAGCGCGCGCGTGCGCGCGCGCGCGCGTGTGTGTGTGTGTGTGTGTGTGTGTGTGCAAGCTCATGCTTGTCTATGCATACACAGACTGAATGGCTCGATGGACATACAACCGAGTAAAGACTATTGCATTCTACAAAGAACAGCAGTCTTGAAGGAAACAACGATGTGCCAGGCGGCCGTGCACGACTGGCCCGTTTACAGTCACGTCCTGTGTGTCATTACCTGCCCAGAACACACCCGGGCGCCAGGACTTCGGGGTGCTCCTGAGCGGCCTTCTTCCCGCAGCGAGGAGTGAGCGACTTTGCTGCGGCTCCGCCCCGCACCCCCACCCCGCACCCCCACCCCGCACCCCCACCCCGCGCTGCGCAGCCCAGCCCCTTTCTCAGCTGGCAAGCACAGGCCCCAGATGCCGTGCTGTGGAAGGTATTTATCTGCTGCATCTGGTTCCTTAGCAGATTCGACAGGCCTCTGTGCTGGCAGCTTCAGAAATGCCTTCGGGCTTGTCACGTG